TTCCTTCCTTCCTTCCTTCCTTCCTTCCTTCCTTCCTTCCTTCCTTCACATGCATCTGTCATTGCTGCCTCTCCTTGTTCCTGTCTAGCCACTCCCTCAGGGTAGCTTCCCACTAGCAGCTTTTCACCAACAAAAGAAAGCTACCCCTAGCCATAACCTCTGGCCATAACAAAGCAGAGCAGAGCTAGGGCAAAGCAGAGAGAAGGGCATGGTGAGCCTGGCATGGTGGCACACACTTTAATCTCAGCATTTGGGAGGCCGAGGCAGGCAAAATCACTGAGTTGGAGGCTAGCCCGGTCTGCAAAGCAAGTTCCAGGACAGGCAGGGCTACACAGAGAAAACCCTGTCAGGAAAAATACAAACAAACAAGAAGAAGGGCATGATGATTGGCAGGCTCAGCATCCCCAAGGTGCTCCTCACCAGCCATGTCTTTTTGTAGGAACAGGAAGCCACCCACCACCATGAGCAGCACTCTGTCACCCACAGACTTTGACAGCTTGGAGATCCAGGGCCAGTACAGTGACATCAACAACCGCTGGGACCTGCCCGACTCAGATTGGGACAATGACAGCAGTTCGGCCCGCCTCTTTGAGAGGTCCAGAATTAAGGCCCTGGCAGGTAAGGAAGGGCAGGAAGGTGATGAGATTGGTGGAGGTGGGTTATGAGCGTGGGAGGGAGCATCTTTTGTGTTTATGGGAAGACTTACTTTCGTTTCTCTAAGCTGCTGCTCTGAAGAGACAGAGACCCCTGTTTGGTCCCCAAAATGTAATGTACTCCTTAGCTTCCTTCTCCCCTAGCCTAGAGATGCCACCCACATTACTCCCCCGGAAATAGCTGGCTGGGTAGATGAGCTTAGTTTTATGACCTAAGGCCTGAGTCAGGTCTCTGCCGCTGCAGTGCTTTGCCTTTTTACTATAGCTGTCATTTCTGTCCCCACCCTCTCTCTCTCACCGTGCCTTCCCTTAATTCTACTGTCACTTCCCACACCTGTTCCCCTCCTGGACTTGTGTTCCAGCATCCCCACCCCCTCAGCCTCTGCCCTCCCCTATGGCCAGGGCTCTCCCCTTGGCTGAACTGGGTACAGACAAACCAGTCCGACAGGCCTCCCTGCCTTGGGAGGAGGAAGGGGGGAAGTTAGTGGTCATAGCAACTGGAGTGCAGCTGCCACCTGACACTACCACCAGCCAGTGGCTGTTTTGGGATTGAGTCACCCACACACCCTAAGGCCACCCACCCAGTCTGCCTTCCACATTCATCCCACCTTCCTGACCTGCCCATGGCTCGGCCAGGTCCAGTGAGAGATCATTACTTCCACTTAAGGAGCGGGGTGGCTCCCAGCAGAAGAGATTTGGAGGCCCGGATGATTTTTTACAAATGCAGGCTCTCAAGAAAGATGGGCCTTAGAACCTTTAGATGTGTGGTCCAGAACTTGGGATTCTTAAAAGCTGTCCCGGGAAAGGATGCCCAGCCAGCGCACCACAAGACAATGGCTACAGCTTGTGGGGCTCGTGGCTCACTCCCTTCTGGCATCTTCCTGGCTGGGACTGAAGTCTGGCTGATGAAATACTCATATCAGTACTTCGGTAGCTCAGGGACAACAGAAAACATGGGGCATGGAAAATGCCACTCCTTTTGGAGAGGTGTGCCCACAGTACCCTGGTTTTAGATCTGTATACCCTCTGGTACGACTATTGATGTCATTGTACACATGCGACCCAAGACTCTTATGGTATCTTCGGTGACACAAACCTCCAGGACTGTTACTGTGTCTGTACAGGTCACATGCCAACCAATGTGATCATATCTGTGTGCATGTGTTACATGCCACCTCGTAAATTTGCCAGGTCTAGTTCATATGACATGTGCTACTCAGAACTCTCACCGTGTCTGTGAGCATGCCACATGGCACCCAGTACTGCTGCTATGCCTGAGCATTTGCCACATACTTCCCAATACGGTCAAACTCTGCAACAAGACCTGAGCCAATCATAACCAAACACACACACACACACACACACACACACACACACAAAGCACACACGCACACAGTGTTCTCATTAAGTGTCTATCCCTGCTCTGCTCAAGGCTGGATTTCCCTAAAAAGGTATCTATGAATGGCTTTGCTTTGCACAGTGCCCCTCAGCCGGTAGGTGCCAAATACATCCTCAATGATTAAAAATGAAGAGGAACAAGTGTAGGCTGCCAGTGACAAAGCAGAAGCCCCAGGAGAGGAAGGGAAGGCACCTAACAGAGGTGCCTCGTGTTAGGGTATCCGAGGGCTGGGATGTTGCCTGAGGAGCCTGGTGGGCAGCGGAAAAGGGCTGGAGGACGGTCCCAGTACGGTCCCAGTACTTACTCCCCAGAGGAGGCCACAGAAGTCAACGGGAGCACACCTGGCTCCTCCTCCAGGATCTCCTTGCTTCCATAGTTCTCCGCAGGGCTGAGATCGAAGCTCAGGCGTCCTGGAATGAGCTGACCTAGAGGTTGGCCCACCTGCAGACTCTCTGAAAGCAGGAGTTTGTTTTGGGGCTCCCTCTGGCAGGCTTTCCCTAGTCTTGGGCAACTAGTAGCCTGACAAGCAGGTCTCTGGGTGCTGGCAACGCCCTCCTCCGCCCATGCAGGGCCTGGCCTTGCCCCAACTGGCTCCGCCTCCTGAGCAGCCTGCCCTTCCCCCCGCCACTGTCCGACCTGTTTGTCTGGAGCTGCCTCTGTCTCCTCTCCCCACAACCAGGTGTGCCCTACTCACTGTCTCAGAAGCTCAGGCATCCCATAACTTTTCCCCCACTCCTTGAAACTCCAAGCATCCTTGAAACCACTCCACCCAACCAGGTACGGAAGCCTTTTTCTGGACGGCCCCAGCATAGGCTCAGGGGACACACATTCCTAGCCCTGCCCCGGCAGGGGAGCATGGACTCTGGGCCATAGGCTGAGTAGGAGGCAGGCACCATGAGTGCGAACGGAGTGGGTAGGATACATGGAAATGGCCTGAACGGGGCTGCTGAATTTTACTATGAAGCTGTGGAAGGGTCTCAGAACCCTGGGGGCGTCCTGCTCTCACCAGCTGCCTTCATCAATCCTGCTCAGTATGCCAATGTGCTGGAAGGACGATTCAAGCAGCTTCAAGGTGAGTTTCTTCCCTGGGCAGAGGGGAGCCTGTTGTGCCAAAGGGAACCTGGGACAGGAAGAGCCATCCGGCCCAAAACCCATGCCTACTGCTTTCTGTGACTCAGATGTCTATGTTGAGGGACAAAGTGGTGAAGCTTAGAGGAAATCATTGCAAGTAGCCAGAGAACCCAGGCATGTGGACAGCTGGAATCCCACTGAATGAGACGGGGGTTGGGGGCCTGGCCTAAGGAGTGTGACCTTGAGGTGCCCTGCTTGTGAGTTAATGTCATAGTTAGGGAGATCACAGCGGTCTCTCCTGGTGTTCACCCTCATGATTTGGCCCTGCTGGTCTTGTTTAGGAAGAAGGGCAGTGGGCCAGAGGCCTAGGACCTAGCACTTTTACGTGTTTTCCTGCCTTCTGGATGGGTGTGAAGGGAAAATGTGTGGGAAATGGAGAGTATGTGTCAAAGGAGAGGGTTTGTGCTCACAGGTCCCACAGATGTCTGAACAGGAATGTTCATCTTGGCACAAATAAGTTTATCTCCCGGTATGTGTGTGTAGGGGTGTTGTGGGTGTCTTGTGATGCTATACTTTGGTGCCTGGATTTACCAGGTCTTTCTAGGTACTATTTCCACTTTTAGTCTATGTGTGTGCCTCGTGCCAGGAGGCCAGGTATCAGGGAAGTCTCCCTGGACTCAGTAATGGACAGATGACTTAAGCTGTCCCCAACTCCTATAGGGCCTGGAGATCCCGACAGGCCCGGAGTCATCATAGGCACAACAAGTATTAGGGCGTATCACACACAAGTATTAGGACCCCAGGCTTGGCAGAGGCGCAGGAATTGGAGATGAGAGAGTCAGGAATAGACTTGGGTGTGTGGCTTTTCTTTGGGAGGTGCTGGTGCTGACTTGGAGACAAAGGTGACTTTAAACACTTCCCACTGGGGCCCGGGTCTTCACACGGGCTCTCTAAAGGGCAACTGGCAGGAATCCTGGCCTTCAAAATAGTTCACAGTACAGAGCTTATACTTTCCCTTGCATTTACGAAGTTTGTAATCATCAGCTTCAGCACCCGTTGTCAGGAGCTCCCTGGGGATGAGAGCCTACCTGGCCTTGCCTGCCTGTCTTGAAGTTGGCGCTCAACTCTACCTGCACTGCTCCCTTGAACTTCCAAGTTTTCTTTTTTTGTTTGTTTGTTTGTTTGTTTTTGTTGTAGACAGGATCTCACTGTCTGGAATTTACAAAGATCCTCCTGCCTCAGCCACCCAGGATTAAAGGTGTGTTGCCACCACACCCGGCCTAAATTCTTATAAAGTATTTCTTAATCTTGGGTGTTGGTGTTCAAGGCCTGGATCCTCTACAGCCAACTGTGCAACTCTGCCGTAGGCTAGAGTAGCCGACCTTTTCTGTACGTGACTCAGGACAGGGAGCCGGCTTCAAGGCTCACACAGCCTCTCCACCGTTGAGTCCAGTTGCTGATCATCTAGGAGATGATGGCCTGCTGCCATATTTACATGCCACACCTTCTTTCCTGCCCCTGTGTGAAACAAGGGGTACCTGCCTTGATCCAGGCTCCCCCAGTAGGGAGCCATGTTGCACTGGACACCTGCTGGATGTATCATGCACAGTGTCTCACTGAATTGCCTATAAAGTAGGAAGACGCTCATCCTACAAATGGAGAAACTGAGGCGCTGAGTAAGCTGCCAGTATCTCAATACTGTTACAGTTGGAAGCCTCCCCACAACCCACCCTAACCTGGGCAGTTTCTCCATCCTTTCTTTCTCTGTCTCTGTCTCTCTCTCTTTGGGTTTTGGTATTTTGTTTTGTGTTGGGTTCTTTGCTGTCTTATTTTGTTTTGTTTTTCTAGACAGGATTTCTCTGTGTAGCCCTGTCCTTAAACTCACTCTGTACACCAAGCTGGCCTTAGACTCACAGATATGCACCTGCCTCATCCTCCAGAGTGCTGAGATTAAAATCATGCTCCACCGCTGCCTGGCTCCATCTTGTCTTCTTGAGGCTTCCTTTGTCTGTCTTGCTTATTCTTTCCTTTGCTCATGAGCTTATCCATCCTCTTCATTGCTTAACTCTATAGATTACTGTTTTGTTTTGTTTTTTTCCTTTCTCTTGGCCATCCCCAATCCTGCCCGACCCCAGCTGTCATCTCTGTTCTCTCAGGCACCCCATCCTACACCCTGCCTGCTGGTGTTTAGAAGCAGGCACACTGTCCTTGAAGGACAGAAATGACTCCTTGTTGCCACTGTAGATGAGCGAGAAGCCGTGCAGAAGAAAACCTTCACCAAGTGGGTGAACTCCCACCTGGCCCGGGTGACATGCCGGGTGGGAGACCTGTACAGCGACCTGCGGGACGGGCGCAACCTCCTGAGGCTCCTGGAGGTGCTCTCGGGAGAGACCCTGGTGAGCTGGGGTAATGGGTGGAAAGGGGAGCCTCAGAGACTGGCCAAGGGAGCAAACCACAGGAAGGGCTCACAGAGCAAAACAGCATGGCTCATCTGCCCAGAGGATGGGCTCATTCCAAGACGCTTTGCTCCGTGGATTACACGGGAGCCATGCTTTGCAGAGACAGGAACAGTGACCCCATTGAAAACATTTCTTCTCCCACCCACTCTGGGTGCAATTAATTCCCTTGGGAATCTTAATCTGCCCAAGCCTCATCTGTAACCTTACTTGGGCTCCATGACCTCTGGTCCGGCCCTAGGGTTGGTCCTGCGTTCCCGGAAGGAGATAATGGGAGGTATGGAGCAGGTTCCTGGGAAAGCTAGGAAGCTAGGTCCCATGCCGCTGTACCCTCCATCCCCTGACAGCCAAAGCCCACCAAGGGCCGGATGCGGATTCACTGCCTGGAGAATGTGGATAAGGCACTGCAGTTCCTGAAGGAGCAGAAAGTACACTTGGAAAACATGGGCTCCCATGACATTGTGGATGGAAACCACCGACTGACCCTTGGGCTGGTGTGGACCATCATCCTTCGATTCCAGGTATCCTCCAGGTGTCAGCTAAGGTGTAAGCGTGCAGGAACCAGTTTTATACCTCCACACTGTTACTGACGATCCATGACAAGATAAATACAAAAACTGAGGTGCTGGCTCAGCAGTTAAGAGCATTATAATGGCTGCTCTTACAGAGGACATGGGTTCAATTCCCAGTACCCATATGGCAGCTCACAACCACTTATAACTCCAGTTCTAGGAGATCTGATGCCATCTTCTGGCCTCTGTGAACACCACCGCACACACAGGCAGACATTTAGGCAAAATAACCATACACATACAAATAAAGTAGTAAATAAACTTTAGAGATTGAGCATCAGCTGGGCAGTGGTGGTGCATGCCTTTGATTCCCAGCACTTGGGAGGCAGAGGCAGGTGGATCTCTGAGTTTGAGGCCAGCATGGGCTACCGATTGAGTTCCAGGGCAGCCATGGCTATACAGAGAAACCCTATCTCAAAAACAAACAAACAAAAATTGAGCATCAAGACAGGGTTTCTCTTTGTAGCCTTGGCTGTCCTGGAACTCACCCTGTAGACCAGGCTGGCCTCGAACTCACAGAGGTCTGCTGCACTACCACACCTGGCTGCATCTAGAACTTCCAAGATCAGTTTGCCTTTGAGGCAATATCCATGCATCATATCTGGGCTCTTATCATTTTCTCTGCTACACTCTGTCTCGGTGCCATCTCAGCTTCTCTAATTAAACCTATGCTTCTCCTGTTGACCTCTAAGCAGAGCTTTTTCAGCTCCATCTTTGAAAGCCAGCTCTCAGAAAACATTCATTCACCTGCCCGTATTCTCTAGCTCCCTTCACTCTAGGCACCTCCACTCCATTGTCATCCCCCTGGACCTGATAATATGTGTCACTATCCCTGGATGTAAGGGCCTAGGTCTGTCCCATCACACAGCATTCCTAAAGATCAGTTTTCTGTGATTCTCTCTGAGTGTCTCTGATAGTACTAAGGCACCACTAGGGAGTGAAGGTCCTGCTTGCTGCTTTCTTAGATCCAAGACATCAGTGTGGAGACAGAAGACAACAAGGAGAAGAAGTCAGCCAAGGATGCTCTGCTGCTGTGGTGCCAAATGAAGACTGCAGGGTGAGAGGCCCAGGAGCATGGCTATAGGGGATGGCCACACCCAGACTGGACAGTATGGAAGGATGGGCTCTGAGGTTCACAACCTGGCCAGTGTCCTTGTATCACACATCCGGGCTCTGGAGCACCCACTGTTTTTCCCTGACCTTTCTTTATAGGTATCCCAATGTCAATGTGCACAACTTTACCACCAGTTGGAGAGATGGGCTGGCCTTTAATGCCATCGTGCACAAACACCGGTGAGAAGGTGGGGTTAGTGAACACATGGACTAATGATGTAGCAAAGGCCGGGAGAGTGGCTGGGTCACTGCATAGCTATAGGGGAGAAAGAGAGAGAGAGAGAGGAAAGAAAGGAAGGAAGGAAGGAAGGAAGGAAGGAAGGAAGGAAGGAAGGAAGAAAACAAGTCCC